CTGACACCTAGAGACCTTACTTCTTCTTCCTCTTCCTCCTCTTCTGTATTTATCCAAAGATTTAAATGCATTGTGCCAATTTACAGCATAGCTATTTTTTTTTTCTCATTTCGGCCAATGCATCCAACTTCAGACATTTGTTTATGGGTTAGGTCTCCATGGACTTATGAAGGTTTGCCCTGCATCCCATATTTTGTAATAGTCATTTCGAAGAACTCATAATTTAGAATTGCATTCTAAACTTGAGGGTTTTAAGTAAATGATATTGTGCAACCCTGAAAACTTATCTAGAGGGTTACCGCCACCACATGGACCTACCTTAGTAGGACAAGCCTAAATGGTCAATTTGTAACAATTAATTTAAAACAGGTGATAACATCTGAAACAGATACCAAGTAGAGATCACAACAAGAACTGCAATAGTAAAGTAGCTAGTTTGCAAGATGGAAAATCTATTTTGTTTTTTTAATGTGACTCGTACGAGAAAAAAGAGAGACTTAAAGTATCACATGGAACCTACAGTTGTCAACGCAAGCAACACTCGGACAATTAACAGATGACTTTGGCTGAATCCACCCCCCCCCCCCCCCCCCCCCCCCCCCCCGACTCTTCTCCTGATATCGTCGTTCATGAGCTGATCTTTCCTTGTTACACGTAGCATGGTACACACACACAATTTAATTTGTGCCGTGACTATTTTTTTATAAAAACCATTTTTTAAAAAAATAATACACTCTATATTACTACCACAATTATGAAAACACGTTCTAATGTGAGTTTTCCACTGCTGAGGTAAAAACAAAAAAGTAAAGGACCCTTTTCCAGGCCTTTAGGCGTATAGGGCATATAGTGCTAGACCTATATTTTATAGACAATCGGCACAAGATGGGTGATGTGGTCAGCATCACGCCGGCAGCCTTTACTTTCCAGGACTGCACCCGGTACCCACTAAAGGCTGGGTCAACCTGGGAGCCAAGGTCATTTTTTTTTTTTTAAAGTCTTGCTCTGCCAGGGAGCGAACCCGCGACGAGTGTCTAGCCACTCTGCCATGTCCGCTCCCTCTCCACTTTGATGAACACGTATAAGTACAGCTGAAGTTAACTCTTTGAGTCCCAGGGGGTTTAGCATCACAGGCCCAAGGGGTAGTCAAGACAGACGTAAAATCGGCGCATCACGCGTTCATTGGGCCTCTAGGTAGGAATCTATGAACGCATGATGCATTTTTTTGAGACTCAAAGAGTTAAGCTTGCAATGGCGCTGATAATATGTTGTTCTTCGTATGGAACTTTATGGAACACCTCATTTTTTTTTCCCCTCAGCCATGTAGTTTTAAAAAGGGAACGCTTTCAAACTTTCCTACAAACACACACACAAAAATGGCCAGAATTCTATCTAAAGCACAGATGAATCATGTTTAAGCAAAAATAGCAATGGACTTCACCCTCTGACTGAACAATGTCAATTTCAAATGTACATGTTGATACAGAAAGAACATGAACACCTCACAGGTGTCTGTATTGTTTGTTTGTTGATTTGGTGAACTGAAATGGCACAGATATTTATCAACAGAAACAAAGACAACAGCTGGAATGGAAGATAATGGTAACACAACTTCAGAAAAGTTATAGAAAAGGTAACATTCACAATGCATTCAAACATACATAATATATTTGCGCTCTCTATTTTACACATACTAACAAAATACAGTTTGCATTCATCTATTTTACACAAACTAAAAAAAAAAATCAGTTTGAATTCACACCCTCTATTTTAAACATACTAACAAAATATGGTTTTGCATTCACACCCTCTATTTTACACTAATAAAATTCATTTTGAATTCACACTCTATTTCACAGAAACTAACAAAATTCAGTTTGAATTCACACCCTTTATTTTACACTTACTAATAAAGTTCAGTTTGTATTCACAGTCGATTTTACAGATACTAACCCTCTATTTTATGCACAATTTTAGCAAGCCATTAATTAGTCGCATTTTATGACATGCTAAATGGGCAGGGAATCTTACCCCCCCCCCCCCCAGGAAATGGGCTCTTAAAATCCACACTGGAGATTTTTGTTCTTCAGTAGTTTGTCATTGCTTTCGGAACAGTAGAATGTCAAAACTACTACAATATGGTCTATTGCCAAATGACCTGACTGTAACCAATAATTGGTAAACAAGCTAAACAGTTTCCTGGGGTATAAGAAATGCGGTTTTACAGAAATAAAATTTCCTAAAAATTACACGTACAATCAAAATAAATAATCTTAATGTTCTCACAGCTGCTAAAATGTTTTTAAAAATTTTTTTAACTACTCATATATGTCCAAAACAGTCAAAGTGTTTTGGCCGTACTATACGGAGGCAAAACTAACCAGTATTCATTTCCTGTATTCACACATCTCAGAACTTCAATTGGCCAAACAAACATGTGGATTTCTCTTGGAGAGACCTCAGTTAAGTGATGTGTATTCTTGTTTTTAAATGTGAAACTGTCTATTCATGTTATGTGCTGATGAAGGTTTTCTAGCAGCAATGTTCATGAGTCATTAGTGATTGTGATAATGTAAAGCTTTTTTGTACCTTCTTCTTTGTTCACCTGCTGTAAGCTCGTGCAGAAAGCCCTGGTTGTTCGTCCATTTGGACTTTGGCTTTGTGCCAGGGTCTGAGTTTTGCGTGTATATCTGTTTTACTGACTTATTTGTGTGCAGTTGGTTGTTCCTTGCCACTCAAGCAGAAGGAAGTCTTAAATTAGTAGACTCCTAGGACATGCTTGCTGGGGAGGCCATGGGTCTATCCATGTATTTCTCACAATGCGGCCCCAGAACCCACACAGGAAACCTTTCATATGGCATGATATTTTTTCATGATAAAGAGAGAAAAACTGGAACATGCGAAAAATGAAAAGGTTTAAGGAAAAATGGACAGAGGAAGACAAGAGAAGATTCCTGACATGTCTTTTGTCATGGCATGGAAAGGTGTTAGCACGTGAACTGATTCTGCTTACGGAGATTACAAGGTACGGAGATGCATAATTGCCTATACCAGTCAGCAAGGCACTTGATGATGATGATGAGTTTTGTATTCTTCTAACAGGTCAAAGTTCAGTGAGTCAAAATTTAAGCAACTTCACAAATTTGCCTTATTTTATCAGTTTTCAAACTTCTCATATGACAAATTTCAAGCATTTTAATTATTTTCACATTAGTTCCACAATGACAAACTGAAGCATCAAAAAAAAATCCATATTATTCTAAGAGGTCTTCAATTATGACAAACATCAAGACATGCCAACAATTCTAATTATTTTAATACTGGGGGCCGCATTAGCACAGTCAGAGACTCGCTTTCAAATCCAGCTGCGACTCGCTGCAGCCCACGGCGGTGTTCGAAACCTGGCAGTTCTCGGGGTTCACCCAGTCTCTAGGTAATGGGTACCAGAGTTAACACTCTAGGGTAAATGGAGGAACGTCATTGTAGCTATGGAGTTGTGTGCGGGCAGCGACACAGATAGACAGTTTCTTATCAGCTCTCTGTACTGGTGGCAGAGCACTTTTGATTTATAACCATGTGCAGTGATGCTGGTTCACTTCTCCCGACTTTCCCTTGTTTTAAAAGATAAAACTTCAAGCGACACCAACCATTCTCGTTATTTAAATATTTTTTCTATGATAAAACTTCATGCGACATCAAAAATTCATATTATCTTAATGCTTCTTCCATGATTGAAAATTTCAAGTAGTACCTACAATTCTTATCATTGTTTTCTATGATAAAACTTCAAGAGATTAACAATTTTTATTCTTAAACAACCAGTCCCCTCACTTTTTTCAATTTTACATATTACCTCTTCTTGTGAACAGTTTTTCATACATACTTTATCAAAAGAGAACTAAGAAGAAGACATTTCATTTACAATTACATTCATCTCTTCTTGTGATACCAACAGTTTTTCATACATACTTTATCAAAAGAGAACTAAGAAAAAGACATTTCATTTACAATTACATTCATCTCTTCTTGAGATGCCTACAGCCTTTCACGTGTACTTCCTGATGGAACAAGATTTGTCTTCTGTTATCTGTGCCACAGCCGGCATGGTGATATGATCCTCTGTCATGTCATTTATCCTTATTCTGCTTGCTTTCCTCTTTTAGTAATGCCCAAGTCAGGTGTTCTCAATGTGTGTCCTATCCAAAACTAGCATCTTTACCCTCACCTTCTGATTTACTCGAATTTGTTTAGATCCCTCCCAAAGCTCTTTAATTGACTCAACAATAGCACATTTTCCTATCTTAATTAATAATGTAATTAATAATCTTATAATATATTTCTAATTAATGTAATTTCTAATTAATTGATGTCAGAGCTGAGGTAGGGCACTTGTTAGATGCTTGCTTACAGGTTCAAGAGTCTTGGGTTCAATTCAGTACCAAGGCAGATTTTTTTAATAATCTGGGGTGAAAATGTTCTTTACTTAATGGCTGTTGTAACAATAACTTCACTTCTTCTTTTCTCTTCTTTCAGCATCAGATTTTGAACAGTTATCTGATGCAAGCCTCAGTGTGTTACACACAGATGCTAGTATTCACGTCCTCAGAGGGTCTGGTCTATCTATCCATCGCTTGAGTGTGTGATCTCGTCTCCCACTAGCTTTGCTTCAGGTTATCGAAGTGACATGGTTCTCTGTCTGCAGTGTCTTGAGGTAGTCTTGGCTGATATCGTCATTACTGATCCTGTTTCTACTTGCTGTAACAGTAACAGCCCCATCACAAACATGTCACCCTGACTTATCTATTAATTTATTCACACTCAATCATGCAACATCAATAATACAGCTTCTAAAACACAATCATAATATAGACTCAAGTGTCTTTAGACAATATTTTAAAGAAACACATATTAATATAAAACAGCTTAGCTACACAGGCACACAAGGAAATAAACATGCACGCAGGTATAAACACATCATCACAACCTATTTAAGCCATCTTTTATCTTTTGATCACAGCCTTTCCTGTTTTCCACACAGAGGTATGCAGTACCACAGCATCCACAGACACGGATAAATGTTTGGTGGAAGTAATCTCGGAGAAACTTTTAGCACCAGAATTGTACCTGGGGAGATCAAAGTCAAGAGTTTACTGTCAGGTCAACATCAGTCAACTTAAGCATCATGTGTCATTACCATAATGGTTTGTGTATATCATGTGTCATTACCATAATGGTTTGTGTATATCATGCGTCATTACCATAATGGTTTGTGTATATCATGTGTCATTACCATAATGGTTTGTGTATTTCATGTCGCTACCATAATGATTTGTGTATATCAAGTGTCACTGCCAAAATGGTTTGTGTATATTAAGTGTCATTACAATGGTTTGTGTACTCTTGTTTGTAAATGTAACACTGTCTATTAATGTTGAGTGCTGACGAAGGCTTTCTAGCCTCAACCTTCATTTGTCGTTTGTGACTGTGACAATGTAAAACTGACCAATAGCTCTATTTGTAAATGTGACAGTGTCTATTTATGTCATGAGCTGATGGAGGCTTTCTAGCACAAACACTCATGTGTCATTTGTGATTGTGACAATGTCTATTTATGTCACGAGCTGATGGAGGCTTTCCAGCACAAACACTCATGTGTCATTTGTGATTGTGACAATGTCTATTTATGTCACGAGCTGATGGAGGCTTTCTAAAGGATTTAAAGTCTTTTTTTTTTTAAAGAAATTTCATGGGGTCAAATCAATCTCATTATGAGCACTACCCGAGTGAAAGAATCAAATCTCACAAGTATAGGGCTTCAACCATTTCATGGCAAACTTAATTAACTGGATTCGTGAGAATAGGATGCCCTGAACTGTGTGTGCTGTATGGAAGAAAGGTGGAGGGGGGAAGAAAGATTAGTTAGGGAATAGAGACAAAGAAGCTAAGGATTGCCAAGCACATACAGAGATGAATTCTGAGAAGAAACATGATAAATACATGCGATGGCAACAGGTGTCCTGAAAACTCATGCATTTATTGTGGAAGATTCTTCTTAACACCAGATGGTATTTTTTTGCCTCCATAAAGCACAACGGAACACTATCGTCTGGAAAGACAGAAAGGTGCCATGAAGGAAAAAAAACTATTCCTTTCTAGAACTCTTCGTGGCTGGTTAGATTCTGTAGCGCTGCAATTCTCTACAGGACGAGTTAGTTAGCCTGTCAACCTTTTTTTTTTAAACCACATGCATGGTAGCTTTTTCCCTATTATAGCCCCATAACACCACATGGCATTGGGTCATCAAATGTTGCTGTCTTATCAGCTCCTCTTTAATGCCTTTCTCTGTGTGGTTGTGTGTGTGTGTGTGTTCTTGTTCAGTCTGCCTTTACTCCTTTGCAGCTGTGGGTTCCATTGTAATGATACCCCTCCCCCCCCCCCCCTTTTAAAAAAAAACATAATTTAAAGACTGGAATCCATACCTCCTAATGTCAAGCACTGGTATCCTGCCCCCTGAACCACTCATTTCTTTTACAAATTACCCTACAAATACATGCAGACTTACTTGTAGAATTTTTCACACATGCCATTGACAATGTGTTTGGGTCCCACACCAAGGACTTTGAAAGCTTCTTCTGTCTCCGGGTAAAATATGAACAGACCCCGGTACTGACAACCCGCATCTCGGAACAGGATCAGGAAGTGGTTAGCATCACACTTAGCTAACTCCTGTCAGAACAGAAACATTTCCACTTGAATCAATAAGATTAACTGCCTCTAGTGTTGGACTGTTTGTGTTGGCATTTCCAAAAGCCACCTAAAACATTTAATGCTGAGACGGCAGTCTGCGTCAAATTTTCACAAGGGACAATGATGAACATTCTGTGTGGTTTTCATTGGTACAGGAACACAGAAGCAGAGCAACTAAGGGGTGACTGGTTTAGTGGAAATTTGGTAGGTAGGTAAGTTGTACCCCACCAGGACATCACACAAAGCAATGAACACCCAATGACACAAAGTGCAACCATGCGGATAAGGATCACCCGCGGAGAGGTCACAGAAACCGCGTTCAACCGTCAGACTATACTGCGGCTCTGACTGCGGCTCTGACAGCAGCCAGGTGGGGCTTCAAAATAATGAAAAATTGCATCTCTCAAGGGGGAGGATGAAGGTTAGAAAGCTGGAATTATGACTGCCTGATTACCTGATCTATACTATACTTCACTCTTTACCTCCCTTCCCCGTGTGTTTTAGGTCTGCCATTTTTTTCTATGCCCCTGTTGGTTCCAATGCAAAGACGTTCTGGTTATACTGTTCTTGGGTTTTCTCAACCTGTGTCCTTTCTTAGAGAGGCAGTTACTTCTACTCCTTTTCGTTTAAATGCTCTAGCCCTTTTTTAATAACTTACATTTGGGGACCTTATGAACAATGGCATCCATATATTACTGAAGGTCACCATCTAGACAATATTCACCTTAAATCATGCAGCCATGAATATTTCACCTCATCACCAACTGATCACCAACACATCCACCTATATCAGGCATTTGTACACTGGGTTAGCCTTCCAGAATACTGTTTATCTGTCCATGATGATGACTCACCATTTATCTATAAAACCAAACTGCGGCAGCTACAATGCGTTTGTCCTCAAACTGGCTGACTGTTCTTTTCTTTATTTCCCTAAATCAGGGCTGGATCTGTTAAGCTCTTTGTTTTTCTCAAAACTACTTCAAGCACAATCTTCTTCTGTGGTTTCCATGTAAAGGATGACTGGCAACCCAACACATCCAATTTCAGCAAAACTATAATAAGTCATCTCTTATTGTGTCATCACTGTGTAGCGGCTAAGCACATGTCTCGGGCCTGAAGATTGTAAGTTCTAAACCACAATGAGCTGGAGTTGTTTTTTTTTTTTTTACTGACCTTGGCTCCCAGGTCAGTCCTAGAAGTAAAGGTGGTTGTTGTGATGTTGACTACAAGGCCCATCAAGCACTTATTATAAATTATAGATCTAGCCCTATATGCCTAATGGTATTGAAAGCCTGTTAAGGGCAGTTGGTCTACTCATTTACCCCCAAGGTGCTTTATTAATATCCTACCCCAGATGATATCACAACATTTTTAGAGGGTAGTAAGACTGGGTTACCTAGCTTTCTGATTTTAACGATCGCAAAACATCTAGAACTGGCCTTAAGCCCAACCCACCTACATCCCACGAGAGTGTGCAGCTTAGGTCCCACGACTGCATGCAGCCTAGGTCCCACAACTGCATGCAGCCTCTGAAATATTAGACTGTCATGTGAGCTGTTTGGGGTAGGATATTATTAAAGCACCACCACCAATTCTTAACCCTCTGAAAACAGTCTGTTGATTAGTTCTTCTGCATAAATGGGCAATGACTGGACACATGGGGTGAAACAGTCAAATCAACGACGTGGCAACTAACCTCAAGAACCTTGTTTTTCATGTCTGTGTTGACAGACCCTGCCAGGCAGCAGTGGGAGATTGCGTTGACAATAATGTGACGGTTAGATTTGGCACTTGGTTTTACAAACAACTTTGGGCCTGGCAAAGAACAAACATTGTTAATAAAGAAAGTAATCAGAAAAGTTTTAAAACAAAAACTCTGTGAAAATGGATTATTTACAGCACACTGAAAAGATGTTTGCTTAAAGTGATACAGGCTGTATAAATAAAACTCTACTCTGTTATTTTATGTAAACAGAAAGATCATGTGATCAATCGGAAGTTACCTCACATAACTGATTTTTAAAATGAAATTAATTAAAATGTTTTTTAGTGCATGTATTTACAACTGTTAAGTGTGACTTAGTGGGGGGTGGGGGCCCCGGAGCCCACACAGGGAACCCAGAGTTCACATTTGTGAGCTGCTGTCTGCCATACTGGAAATACATTTCTCTGCACAGTTGATGTTCATTATACTTCCAGGTGGGCAGAGGAAGAGATCCGCAACTTTGGTGAATCTACTTCTTTGGTAATGGTACAGAGTAAATGTCTCTAAATCAGCTACACTAGACAGATGCAAGCCCTTTTTTGTTCTGTACCCCTGCACTATATTTGATTGTGCCAATTCACAAGCAATTAATCCAACAACAGATGGAACTCAAGAAACATATCATGTTGGGAGCATCTAACAAATTCATGCATAGCTCCCTGATATGCAATGAGTTAATACCTGCATAATCAGAGCCAGGGTTTGAACCCGAACCTGTTTCACTGCCACTTTCTTGGCTGCTGCCTCTCTGTCGCTGCTGCTTTAATCTGCTCAAATCGGGTGAGGGAGGGCGGCGGTATGTGGAAGGCCCTGTTGCTCCATTTGTGGCGCCCTGCAAAGTGTTGCAAGAAACTGGAGAGAGAATAAAAATCAAGAAAAAATTAAAACGGAAAGAGATATGTTATAGTTCCTGGGTTATAGTTTACACATATATATAAAGCAATGTTTCACCATTGTAAATTTCTTCTTCTTTGCGTTCACCAGCTGTTAACTCCAGCAGAAAGTTCTGTCCACCTCTGGACTTTAGTCTTGTTCCAGAACCTGAGTGTTATGTGTGCATCTGTTTTACAGATCTGACTTATCTGTATGCAGACTTTTGGTTTCTTGCCTCTCGGGCAGATGCACTCAGACTTAAAAGGAAGACCCCAATTAGTCAACCCTCAAAACATGCTTTTCGGGTAGGCAATGGGTCTATTATTGTTTTCTCCACAATGGGGCCCCAGAGCCCATGCAGGCAGTGGTAAATTTAAACTCTATGCCCAACTAACCAACTCTGCGCCAATGTTGCTATGCTGCCAATGCCAGACATAAATGAGAACATCAAAATATAAAAGTCTTGCAATACACTATAAAGAAATAAGTGAGTATGGAGATATGTTATATTTCCTATGTTGTGTTATATTTAACAAATATAAAAAATACAAGATGCTGAAAAAAAAAATCATGAAATGGGCGAGTGCAGACACGTTTTAATGCAATGTTATATGTTAATAATGTTAAAGTTGCTTGCAAGACACGGGGGGGGGGGGGGGGGGGGGGGGGGGGGGGGGGGGGGGGAGATATGCATGAGTGCACTGAAAGCTTCAGTGTTCACAAAATACAAAATAGACACACAATAATGACACAAAACAGACAGATAAAAGGCTACAAAAATGAATGGTGCCAAATTTTCAATAGTGAACCTACAATTCAGCTCGCCAAGTCTGCTAGTACAGTAACAATTAATAAAGGTGACCTCACATTCAACAAGTGGCTACAGTTTTTAAAAAAGCAGTGCTGATGAAAACAATAATAATGGAGCTACCATAATTGTGAGCTGCACACACACAAAAATGTATCACGTTCAACTACAAAGTTTCCAAACTGGAAGGCATGAAAACAATTATGGGGGGCATCAGGTCAACATGAATTTTTAAAAAATTTTAAAAAAACATGTACGCACCAACACACACACGCGCTCTCTCTCACTCTCTCTCACTCACTCACTCTCACTCACTCTCTCTCACACAGACACTCTCTCTCTCTCTCTCACTCACACACACACTCTCTCTCTCTCTCACTCACTCACTCACACACACACACACTCGCACACACAGAGAGCGAGAGAGAGCAAGAGAGAGTGCGAGAGAGAGAGAGAGAGAGAGAGAGAGAGAGAGAGAGAGAGAGAGAGAGAGAGAGAGAGAGAGAGAGAGAGAGAGAGAGAGAGAGAGAGAGCACAAGTGCTCCGACTTCGAAGGAGGCGCCCAGTTAGTCGATTATTGCAACATGTTTGTTGAGGAGACAGTGGGTCTGTTCTTGTTTTCCCCCACAATGGGACAACGGAACCCACAGGGGAAGTGTGAGCTTTTAAAAATCACACAAGCAACTTTCCAATAAATTTTTGTTTAAACATCTACTGTATCACAAGTTACCTGCTTTCCGTATGTTACCGGGTTGTGGCAGTCGGAAGTGGAATGACGACCGCAAGGCTGTATGTACCACAAGCAAGGATTACCCAGCCAGCCAAGAAGGAATGCAAAACCAAAATAATAATAAAAAATACCAGGGGAAAACATTGTGAACATAGAACTAAAGATGTGTTAGCAACTTCACCATAATCGAGTTGTGTGACATTGAACATGTTAATGTTATCTTTGGTAGCTGCAATTTTCAGCTTGTTAGTAATTAGTTTGGAAACAAACACATTCTCTTTATCAAAATGCACTCTATGCTAAGATAATAATATATGGTGCTGGGGATTAAATGTACCCTTTCGTCGGTTAAACCCTCCTGTGCTTCATTCATAGTATAATTTCCTTTCAATCCTCTTCATTATAATTCATAAAAGGATTTTGCTAGCATGAATTATTAGTGCTCCATAGTTGCTCTGTTCCTGTGCCAATGAAAATCATACTGAATTTCCACCACTGTCCCAGACACTGACACAGACTGCAATCTCAGCAAAGCCATTAGCATACACAAGTTTTAAATGCATAAGGCAGCCATCAGAAGTGCCAACACAGACAGTCTGACACCAGAAATGCAGTTCGCCTTCAATGGAAGAAGCAGTTACAACAGATCAGCAGTTGTACACGGGATTAACCATACAGTGTACCATCAGTTCTGTAGCAACAGACCACTCTCCGTTTTCTGACTGCATTTAAAACCCCTATGCCATAGACACTGATATATTATCCGCAGCTATTGTTTACAAAATCACAAATCAGTGTATTCCGACAATACGCTACTTTTTATTCTTTATCAGCATAACTGAAGGTTTACCATAAGATCCTCAGATTTAGAGCATTTGTCTGGGCAGCAAACCATCAAGGCAGATCCTAGATACCCACAGCTCAACCTCCAAAGAAGTTATAATTATGGCACCCATAACCGTTACACCCACCAGGTGTAACTTACAGTCCTATGGGGGTTAGGAATGTGTCATACATCTGGAGTATTTCTTTTTCTTCTTCTTCTTTTCCACCAGGGAGGTGTTGGGGGAAGATGTAAGGATCGTTTGTGAGTTTTTCCCAATGCATATTACAAGTTGGTGTTCATTTCTGTTAGGTTGCTCCTGATGGTGTTGCTCTATTTCTTGCGTGGTCTTTCCCTGGCTCTGTGTTCATTATATTTCTTCAGCATGACTCTCTATGGCAGTTGGTACCAGGGCATTCTTGTCCGGTGGCCAAACCATCTCATTTGTTGTTCTTTACTGAACTGTTTGACTGGTTTCAATTGTTGATTGTTGCATTTATAACTGATTAATTAATGTATTAACTGTAAATACATTACCATATGCTTGAACTCATTTTTGGATAAGAGGAATTTCTGATAAGAAGAACTATTTACCGGATCCCTGGTGGGTTCTCCTTTTCAGGTATGCACTATATCTCTCTCACTACCCTCCCTTTTCTTGACTAACAATACACACATCTTTGTACTTACATTGCCTCTTCTCTTCTTTTTTTTTTCTTCTTTTTTTTAACCTCCATGTTGTTTTCTTATATTCTTTCTGCATTACATTCTGACTTATAGATTTCTCACATATTTTAAACTATAATATTTTAACAGCACATACACCTACTTCCCTAATCTATTGATTTTGTTATTTATTTTAACTTGTTAAGTGGGGAGACAAACATGCAGAAGATGCAGCTCAAAAAATGTTTTTCGGCCAAACCTAATTCTGACTTCCACTAACATGCTACAGTCACACAACCTGGCAGGGAAGCAAACTTAAAATGACAGCAACAACAAAAATAAAATAAAATCCAAATACAGTGCAATATAATCAAAGCAAAACAATCAAGTAAGTGATCTCTAGAACAAAAGATGCATGCCTGTTTAAAGCACATTTCACATCAGAGAGCAAGTAAATAATGCAGGATGAGGTGCTTATGAAAGCTAAAACCAATCTGGCAGCAAGTCTAGATGAACAGATGCCTGCAGTGAGAAGTATTAGTTTCCAGGATAAAAATGCTTCTTCTTCTGCATTTGCTCTTATAAGGGCATCTGGCATGCTGTGCTGTGGTATGCAGCTAGGCTGTGACATCTGCACTGTTTCTGGCCTAACACAATCAGTCAATCAATCAATCTCAAAACACTGTGCTGTGTTTAGACAGGTATGATTACATTTACTAAACTTAGCAACTGAAGGATATTAGCTGGGTGTGGTGATGACTGTCTGCAGCTTTGGCATTGCAAACTTGTTTCATAATGCCGGGGTGCTGGGTTCGATCCCAGCTGCAGGCCTTGTGCCTTGCGATGGTCTCGAGAAGCTGACCTTCCAGAAAACAATGGCAAACTACTGCATGTAGAATTTGCCTTAAAAAACCACAAGAAAATGCTGGGGTTTCTTCTGCAACGTCCTGTAAAGGATACGCAACTAACTAACTTGTGGTCATGACTACTAGCTGTACTGTGATGGAATCAGACACAGATCATAACTTAAACTGCACAACTTGGTGATATCCCACTGCTATGACCAATATAAACATCCATTTTGTGTGCTCCACACTAAAAGTAAATGAATTTTACTGAGCAGAAGAAGAGTCTTAGAACCCTTTTCCCCACCTTCAGACACACTGGGCATATGGTGATAGACCTATATTCTATTGATAATCAGCACTCTGTGGTGATGTGGTCTACATAATGCCTGCCACCTTTACTTCACAGGATGGCTCAACCTGGAAGCCAAGGTCATTTCTGAACAAATCTGACTTGATAGGGATTTGAATCTAAAATCTTTGAGCTGGAGGAGAGAGTTCAGGGGCTACACCTCAGCAGCTCTCAAGGCAGCTAATGAGCAGAAGAATATTATATTCCTAATCCCTCTGAAGCAGTAGTTCCCAAACTGTGCGCCGCGGCGCCCCAGGGAGCAGTGATCTCTTCACAGGGGCACAGCGAAATATTCGTAGATACACACGTTTTAATTGTATTATCTCTTACATACGAATAGTCATACTTTTACTTAGGTTAGGGCACCTTGGAAAAATTGTAATTTAAAAAAGGTGGCGCGACTAAGAAATGTTTGGAAAACGCTTCTCTAAAGAAAGCTTTAGGATGCTTGCTTAAAAATAACTGAAATGTTTGGTTCATCACCACACTAAACTGACAATATAATCTGTCACTACATAAAACAGACACTAGGATGGAATGTGTGCAATAATAAAAGACAAATAATATGCAGATCAAAAAGGCAGCATGCAGATTAAATAAAAAACATTTACTTTACACATACACAAAGCAACCTGAAATTGTTCCCTCTCATTGAAAAATTAAGTGACTAACACAGTAATGCAATGTGTAAATTATTTTTTTTTAAATTAAAACAGAGAACAGACAATGTGAGACATCAAAAAAAAATGAACAGACAATGTGAGACACCCAAAAAAAATGAACAGACAATGTGTAATGGTAACAGAACGAAGAAGATAAGCAATGATACATGGCGTCAATGCTCAAGATGCAAAATATGAGTAGAATACTGTCACAACAACCTATTGATTCATACGAGCATAATTTCTAGACAAAAGCATCACAACAAATTCAAAGCATCTGCGGAGAATGGCGCTGCGAGGAGTTACCAGGGAATCTGGCCGGCGCTCAACACTCAGGGGAAAGGATACGACGGATATACAATCAGACGGTTACAGGCACTATTGAAATTGGAACTCTTCGCTTGCTGCTGAAGATGGGGACTGAGCACTAATGGGGTGTCCCGAGTGCTGGGATGTCGATTCTTAATTCAACATTCAACAAATTCAAAGCAAAATTCAGTTGATGACAAAATCTAACCCTATGGGGACTAGAGACTGAACCTCCAACTACTGCGCTGGATAACCAATGCACTATCCATAGGTTTTAATGGTTCCAACCCTTGCCCCCCCCTCCCCCCCCACTTTTTCCCCCTTTAAAAAAAAATTCATTGCAGAATTTAGAATCTATATGTTAAAAATCCTGTTGTAATCAAGGGGTGTACAGTGGTGTTCCTCTTTGTGGCAAGGAACCTTACTGCTTTTTTTTTTCATGCAAAGGAGCTCACATCTATTTCATTTTGTTCAAAGGAACCTCACTATGATTCCATCATGCAAAGAAACCTTGCTATTACAACAAACATCAAGAACATAAAAGCAAGGGACAAATGAGTTGACCTTCTGGATGACGGAACAGATGACCTGCAAGCCACTTACCCGACATGACACTTGGTGTTGACCTGCCACTCATGTTGCCTCGACCAGTCAGATCTTCCTGTGAACTACTACCAGAGTCTGGAGCCATGGCTCCTAATGGAATAGATGGCAAAACATTTATTGATGAATACATAAGACAAGAGGAGCTTTCACAACCCTAGGAAATCTACGGGAATCAAAAGATGGCAAAACATTTATTGATGAACACAAAAGACACGAGAAGCAAAGTGATAACCCTGAGATCATATCAGCAAAGTGATAACCCTGAGATCATATCAGCAAAGTGCTTTCACAACACCAGGAAATCTGTGGAAATCAAAAGATGGCAAAACATGGGAATTGAAAGAAACATAAGACAAGAGAGGGGCTTTCACAGCACCAGGAAATCTGGGAAATCAAAAGATGGCTTTATGGATGAATCAAAAGGATGGGCACAGCATGGGAAATCTATGGAAATGAATATAATTGATAAGAGAGGCTTTCACAAAACCAGTAAATCTTTGGGAATTAAAAGATAGCAAAACATTACTGATGAATACATAAAAGGAGCTTTAGCAGCACTGGGAAATCTATGGGAATAAAAAAGATGGCAAAACATTTACTAATGAATACACAAGAGAGGCTTTTACAGTACTAGGAAATCTATTGGAATCAAAAGATTGCAAAACATTTACTGATGAATACATAGGAGGGGCTGCAGGTTACAGCTGGCTGGTGTAGCCCTAATTATAACTTCTTTGGAGGTTAAACTTCTTCTTCTTCTTTGCGTTCGGTTTGGTATGCTCAGATCAGACCATCAGGTGAGTTTGCTTGTTTAGCTACACCAGGGCTATTCAACCGGCAGTTCGTGGGCTAAATCTGGCCTGCAAAGGCCTAGCAAGTTGACCACAGATCATTATCATTTGTATTGTACTAATGATCTTTCTATCCTGGGGTTGTGCCACCGGCTCATGACGATCCCCATTTTTAAAATGTTGGCTCTCAGTAAACTTACTTAAATAGCCTTGAGATAGAACATTTGCCAGACCAGTTAGCTGCAATGATGGGAAATTCCTAGGGAACCCCAGAAAGTTTCCTGACAGAGGGTACAAGGTCAGTTGTGAGGGAAAAGTGAGAGATTGGAAACGAACATTTTGAACGAAGAGATGATGTAGAATCAGTTGTGGTTTGACCGTGTGAGAGGCAGGTTGCTTGATGGTGTGACTGAGATAAACGTAGATTGTGAACTGAAAGAACTAAGCTTTTGAGAGCTAGGAATGTCTCGAGAGAAATGATTCTGAATAGCCACATCTAGCATCTGTAAAACATTTGTGTTACTGTGATCCAGATGCCAACACCCAAATGAATGGAACATTCAGACTGACAGGTAATTGTACACTATTGTCTAGTTGTCATCCTGTCATGGCAGTCAGTCGTGAACGAGTGTCAACGACCTGGGAGAGCATAGGACATCAACGGAGTGACTTGTTTGTTGTACCAGGATAAACTGTATCAACGTCATCGTCGTGTTTCGACTATACTATCATGTGTCAAGACTTGACAGCATAATTGAGACACGAACAAGTCCAGAAGTAGAATGAGCCAGAGAGCAACTTCATCACGAGTGTCAACGACCAGGGAGAGCATAGGACATCATAGGAGTGACCTGTTTGTTGTACCACGATAAACTGTATCCTCATTGTCGTGTTTCGACTATACTATCATGTGTCCAGATTTGACAGCTGAGACACAGATAAAGTCCAGATAGCAGAACGAGCCAGAGAGCGACTTCATCACACATGGGGTTCTCCTCCTTTTGAAATTAACTCACTAACTATTTCCTAGACTGCAACATTAAAGAACACTGACATACCAGGTTCTGGTGTCATGGCTTTTTTCACAAACATAGACTTTGGTCTCTGCTTGCTGGCACTTGCATCTCGCTTTTTGGGCATGGGTTTTGCGGGTGAATCTTCATCTTCCTGCTTCTTCTGGAGGTATTGTTGGAAAATCAACTCTCGTCTTGCCTTCTCTTCGGCCTTCTTTCTTTCATGCTCCTCTTCTTTTAATCTGAAATTAAAGATGAAGAAATATGATCAAATGAATTGAAAGTCCGATCATCATCATTATCAGGTGCCTTGCTGACTGGCGTGGGCGATCATGCCTCTCCACAATCTGCAATCTCCTGCAGCATGTATCAGTTTGTGTGCCGACATACCTCCATGCCATACAACATGACTGTGAAAGTCAGATATCTCTAACAATATCAGCATTTCCATTTCTTAACTGCTCGCAGATATTGAACTTTTTCAGTTCAGCAAAATAGTATGTGACAACTATGATAAACAGAAGGAAGGAACTGTGGCAGTGTACACAGAAGTCAGGGCACGCAGGTAGGCAAGGAAATGAGCAAGTTGATTGGCTCACAGGTAAAGCTAATGCAGAGGGCGGACGAGCTATGGACCATGCTGATATTCTGAAGGCTGCATGAGAAGGAAGATGTTTGCGAGAACCAAGTTATGACAGTGAATCTGCAACAATGACCAGACTGCAAGAACAACATGTTAAAAGGGGTGTGGCCAGACAACAGCACTATGCAAGAAGTAAAAAGAAGAATGAGAAAACAAGACAGAACAGGTATCATAAGCCGCTACACGCTGCGGGATTTACTATTCTAAGGAAGGGACCCGCTCAGCATGTATGGACTGAATTGTTCGATGTGTAATGAGGATAATCTGCTGATTAACTAACTAACTAACTAACTAACTAACTAACTAACTAACTAACTAACTAACTAACTAACTAACTAACTAACTAACTAACTAACTAACTAACTAACTAACTAACTAACTAACTAACTAACTTAATTTTCTGTATATGTGACTTTTAAAACCTGTTGACCCCTGTGTGGGTTCCACAGCCCTATTGTGGGGAAAACAAGAAGAGACCCACTGCCTCCCCAGCAAGCAGGTAAATTATGAATTTTCATCTGTATCTAATGTGTGCTGTGGCCGTCTATGCCTTTTCTTCTTTCCTTCCTCCAGGTGCCTCATCAAAGCGTTAGGAAGAGAAGTAAGAATTCCCCCCCCCCCCCACCCTTATGTGTGTGTGCGCACATGCACACTCTTTTTAATGCAATATATAAATGTATTTTATATCTGAAAGCTTTTCTTTATGCCATCATCCTGTATTTGCATGGTCTTCCTCTTGCTCTGTATCAATTATATATCTTCAGTGTGGCTCTATGTGCAGCTGGTACCAGGGCAATCTCACCTTAAGGCCAAACCCTCTCATCAATTGCTCTTTAATGAACTGTATGGCTGTCTATGCAAGTGGTCTTTACTCAGCTATGATCGAAACCCTTCTGGAAGATTCCAACAATGGTAACAATGATTGTTTACTTATTTTTATTTCATAAACAAACAAGCTACATTAAACAGTGTCAAAAGTCTAAGGCGATGGAAGGTATAAAACAAAATAATGAAATCAATCATGTACTTACTGCTTTTCCTCCAGTTTCCTGTTAGTTTCTGCTTCCTTTTCCAGCCTCTTCCTTTCTTGTTCCTCTTTCCTCTTTCTCTGCATTTCAATCAGTTTGATTTTCTTCTTCTGCATTTCATCATCACCAGCCTGCAAATAAAACAACCCCATTCAATGATAACACAATCTACACCATATTCTTGGTCTGCCTCATGGTTTACTCCCATTTAACTTTTTCAGGTACAAAGTTTCTGTCTCACTGTTATCTGCCATATATATATATATATATATATATATATATATATATATTTGCTCCAAACTTGCAATCTATGAGCCCTCATTATGTGAAAGGGTGCAGAGGTTCTGTGTGTGGTGCCGAACCTCTGTGTGGTGCTGAACCTCCGAGTTGGTGAACCTGTGTTGTGCTGAACCTGCGTGACATGGAACCTGTGTGGCGCGGAACGTGTGTGGTACTGAACTTGTGTGGAACAGAACCAGGTACATCAGGGCCAGGGTTCATACTAGTCAAGATCTATCTACACATCTCTGTGGCCATCCTAGAACTAGGTTTCCTACCGGGAACCTAGCCAGTGTAGATAGAATTACCATTCCTTCGAAGTCGGACAGCACCCCTAATGAATGCTAATTTAAACAGATTGCCTTCTTTGTTTGTCCAAGTGACATAATTGCACTGTATACAGCATAGCTGAGATATTTGTGTCTTTCGGCCGAAACATCGAACTTTATCTGGCATTCGTTCACCGGGTTGGCCTTCCCACAATAAAACAAATTATGAATTTCATTATTGCTTCTCACTCTCCATTCACTGCTGTTTCCATCTTTATGTAATTCTTGCATGTATCACACATCCAAAATAGACACATTAAAGTCTGCAGAAGCAATTGCAAAATGCATGGGCAATTGTAAACCCTTTACCATGTAGACAGGAAAACAGGGAAAAATAAAAAGACAAAAATTGTATAACATCATCAAAATTTGTTTACACTGAATGCTGTCTGAGCAACCTATCACAAATTATAAGATGGAGTAGACAGCGCAAATTTGGACATATCCTGGAAATGGTCGAACAGTGCATCACCAAACAGGCACTGAAATGGGAAATAAAGGGATTGAGGAAATGAAGGCATCCAAGAGAAACAGATGTGAGAAGCCAGAGGTGCTGGATGGATTCCATCCATGACACAGGAATGCTCCGTGCAGAGTGGCAAGCATCACTTCAAAGGTCCCGGGTAGTTAGCATCCTTTGGATATTTTCTCCAGGTTTTGTCGGTGTGTTAGAAATAGGCAGGCAGATATAGTGGCCGGTTCTGCACCACTTGGTAGTGAAATGATATATGAAAAGCTGGATGTTGTGAAGGCCCTTTGGGAGAGAGTGAACAATGCCCAGGCACAGGTAGATCATTATGGTCTGGGGAGAATGACACAGTGACGAGTTTACAAGGGAATCTGGCTGGCACTCGATACTCAGGGGAAAGGCGAGACATTATATACAATCAGACAGTTACTGCTACCAACGAAACTTTTACTCTTCACTTGCTGCTGAAAATTGGGACACAGCACTTATGCTGTGATGTCGATTCCTAATTCATCATTCAACATTGCATCCATGATATTGAAGTAATGGTACAGGATATAACCGAAAGGAGGATTAGACTGTGAGCCCTATGTGACATAATGATACAACAGGACAGTGAATGAATGCGTTGTCCATTTCAACTAAAAAGATTAACTTTTGTGCTTCACTGAAATGTATGCCTAAGTATGTAAACCATGTGGTTAAGGATATCCTCCATCATTCCACCTGCAGTTTCAACCACTGTAGTGTTTGTAGACTGTAGGATTGTATGTATTTGCTTCTTCGGAACTAATCAAAGAATTCACCCTATCTCACTTGTGTGCAAGATCTTGTGGCCACTCCCACGGGCTATCCATTAGATCTCATGCTCGAGCAATGTGGGGTGAACTCCATGATTAGCACCGTTTCTTCTTTCTGTTAACTAGTTAAATATAAATTTGCATGCAAGCTATTAGTTCCTCACTTCTAAAGCAGATGACCTCTGACTTCAAAGGGATGATGATTCTAACAAAAATGGCCAGGTTCATGGTAGGAAACCTGATTCTATGAGCTCTGGTCCTGGTGCACCACCAGGTGGGTTCAGCAACTCCTGCCTTCTGCACCAACACGTGGCTTTAGCACCTCCTGCACCACCACGTGGCTTCAGCACCTCCTGCACCATCACGTGGCTTTAGCACCTCCTGCACCACCATGTGGCTTCAGCACTTCCTGCACCACCACGTGGCTTCAGCACCTCCTGCACCACCACATGGCTTTAGCACTTCCTGCACCACCACGTGCCTTTAGCACTTCCTGCACCACCACGTGCATTTAGCACCTCCTGCACCACCACGTGGCTTCAGCACTTCCTGCACCACCACGTGGCTTCAGCACCTCCTGCACCACCACATGGCTTTAGCACTTCCTGCACCACCACGTGCCTTTAGCACTTCCTGCACCACCACGTGCCTTTAGCACTTCCTGCACCATCACGTGCCTTTAGCACTTCCTGCACCACCACGTGCCTTTAGCACTTCCTGCACCACCATGTGGATTTAGCACTTCCTGCACCATCACGTGCCTTTAGCACTTCCTGCACCACCACATGGCTTTAGCACTTCCTGCACCACCACGTGGCTTTAGAACTTCCTGCACCACCACGTGGCTTTAGCACTTCCTGCACCACCACGTGGCTTTAGGACCTCCTGCACCACCACGTGGCTTTAGAACCTCCTGCACCACCACGTGGCTTTAGCACTTCCTGCACCACCACGTGGCTTTAGCACTTCCTGCACCACCACGTGGCTTTAGCACCTCCTGCACCACCACGTGCCTTTAGCACTTCCTGCACCACCACGTGGCTTTAGCACTTCCTGCACCACCACGTGGCTTTAGCACTTCCTGCACCACCACGTGGCTTTAGCACCTCCTGCACCACCACATGGCTTTAGAACCTCCTGCACCATCACATGGCTTTGGAACCTCCTGCACCACCACGTGGCTTTAGAACCTCCTGCACCATCACGTGGCTTTAGAACCTCCTGCACCATCACGTGGCTTTAGAACCTCCTGCACCACCACGTGGCTTTAACACTTCCTGCACCACCACGTGCCTTTAACACTTCCTGCACCACCACGTGCCTCTAGCACTTCCTGCACCACCACGTGCCTTTAGCACTTCCTGCACCACCACGTGGCTTTAGAACCTCCTGCACCACCACGTGGCTTTAGAACCTCCTGCACCATCACGTGGCTTTAGAACCTCCTTCACCATCACGTGGCTTTAGAACCTTTTGCACCATCACGTGGCTTTAGAACCTCCTGCACCACCACGTGCCTTTAGCACCTCCTGCACCATCACGTGGCTTTAGCACCTCCTGCACCACCACATGGCTTTAGCACCTCCTGCACCACCACATGGCTTTAGCACCTCCTGCACCATCACGTGGCTTTAGCACCTCCTGCACCACCACGTGGCTTTAGCACCTCCTGCACCACCACGTGGCTTCAGCACCTCCTGCACCACCATATGGCTTCAGCACCTCCTGCACCACCACATGGCTTTAGCACCTCCTGCACCATCACGTGGCTTCAGCACCTCCTGCACCATCACGTGGCTTCAGCACCTCCTGCACCCCCCTCCCCATAAGTGTTCAGCAAGAGTCTTGTGTGTATTTTTAATCTTGATATGATACTTCTCTGATAAATTATCTTCAACAATAACCTGTCAATGTCTTCACTGTTAGTTAGTTTTTTTTCTTTTTTCTTTTCCAAAGCTTGTAGCTCATTTACAGAACATCACAGCAAGGTGACAACCCTGAGATCATGTAACCAAAGTGACAACCCTGAGATCATGTAACCAAAGTGACAACCCTCATATCATGTAACCAAAGTGACAACCCTGAGATCATGTAACCAAAGTGACAACCCTGAGATCATGTAACCAAATTGACAACCCTGAGATCATGTAACCAAAGTAACAACCCTGAGATCATGTAACCAAAGTGACAACCCTGAGATCATGTAACCAAAGTGACAACCCTGAGATCATGTAAACAAAGTGACAACCCTGAAATCATGTAACCAAAGTGACAACCTGAGATCATGTAACCAAAGTGACAACCCTGAGATCATGTAACCAAAGTGACAATCCTGAGATCATACCAGCAAGGTGACAAACCTGAGATCATGTAACCAAAGTGACAACCCTGAGATCATCCCAGCAAAGTGACAACCCTGAGATCATGTTACCAAAGTGACAACCCTGAGATCATACAAGCAAAAGTGACAACCCTGAGATCATGTAACCAAAGTGACAACCCTGAGATCATATCAACAAAGTGACAATCCTGAGATCATATCAGCAAAGTGACAACCCTGAGATCATATTAGCAAAGTGACAATCCTTAGATCATATCAGCAAAGTTACAGCCCTGAGATCATATCAGCAAAGTGACAACAATGAGATCATATCAGCAAAGTGATAACCCTGAGATCATACCAGCAAAGTGATAACCCTGAGATCATATCAGCAAAGTGGCAACCCTGAGATCATTTCAGCAAAGTGAAAACCCTGAGATCATATCAGCAAAGTGATAACCCTGACACCATATCAGCAAAGTGACAACCCTGAGATCATTTCAGCAAAGTGATAACCCTGAGATCATATCAGCAAAGTGGCAACCCTGAGATCATGTAACCAAAGTTACAACCCTGAGATCATATCAGCAAAGTGATAACCCTGAGATCATTTCAGCAAAGTGATAACCCTGAGATCATTTCAGCAAAGTGATAACCCTGAGATCATACCAGCAAAGTGGCAACCCTGAGATCATGTAACCAAAGTTACAACCCTGAGATCATATCAGCAAAGTGATAACCCTGAGATCATTTCAGCACAGTGACAACCCTGAGATCATATCAGCACAGTGACAACCCTGAGATCATATCAGCAAAGTGATAACCCTGAGATCATATCAGCAAAGTGACAACCCTGAGATCATATCAGCAAAGTGATAACCCTGAGATCATATCAGCACAGTGACAACCCTGAGATCATATCAGCACAGTGACAACCCTGAGATCATTTCAGCACAGTGATAACTCTGAGATCATATCAGCAAAGTGACAACCCTGAGATATCAGCAAAGTGACAACCCTGAGATTTCAGCAAAGTGACAACCCTGAGATCACATCAGCAAAGTGACAACCCTGAGATCATATTAGCAAAGTGACAACCCTGAGATCATATTAGCAAAGTTACAGCCCTGAGATCATATCAGCAAAGTGATAACCCTGAGATCATATCAGCAAAGTGATAACCCTGAGATCATATCAGCAAAGTGATAACCCTGAGATTGTATTAGCAAAGTAATAACCCTGACAACACCACAGCAAAGTGATATATTTGACTACATCATTAACTGCTGTTACAGCCTTATATACCAAACCACTTTTATGGCAGTGCAGGACAGGGCGGCCATCAACTATGCATGATAGAATTTTCTTTTAGCCCCCGGCAGAAAAACCCTCACCTTACCAGGGATCAAACCAGGGTCTCTGTAAGAGACCAGAATTCTAACCATTTGGCCAGCTGCTCTCTGACATCCTAGTGATAAAGTGATAAACATTAGAACATGATAGGAAAGTGATAAACCATGGTGCTTTATTACTATCCTACCCCAAACACAGATCATGGGACAGTCTAATATTTCAGGGGGTGGGAGATAGGCTGCATGCATTCGTGGGACCCAGGCTTCACTCTTTCGTGGGACGTAGGTGGATTGGGATTAGGGCCGGTTCTAGATGTTTTGGGGTCGTTAAAACATTAGAAAGCCGGGAAACCCAGTCTTACCACCCTCTAAAATGTTGGACTGTCCTGTGAGGTCATCTGGGGGAGGATATTAATAAAGAATCTAAACCATAACATAAAAAGCTTCCACTTACAGCTTCCTTGGTTGCAGGAGATTCATCTTTGATCATAAATCCAATGCTTGGGGATGAAGACTCATCACTAAGGTCATCATCTCTTTGGGTGTTCAAAGTTGCCACAATGGTCTGGTGAGCTAAATTAGCTGCCACATCACTACTAACCCCTTCAGTAGAACTTACGATAGTCACTGGTGTCTGTACACCAACTGCCAACCCAGCACTGGGAGCTGGTGATACACCTCTAGCCCGATGTTCAGGCAGTTTGGGCTTCAGCCGCTTCAGTGTGGTATCCCCAAAAGAAACAAAAAAGCCATCGTTGCTGATGTTCATGGGGTCTTCTATGTCACTAGCGTCCTGAACATGATGGGATGTTGGCTCCCTAGTGTGAGGGGAAACTGATGCTCCCAGACTGAAAGAATCCCTAGGTGATCGGTGGTGTAGCAACATCAAGATTTTGTGCCAAAGCAGGTGGCTGCTGGTTTAAAGGTGATGGACCGTTTGGCCTTGTCATCACTCCCTGTATAACAGAAGCTTGCTGAGGTATTCCATGTATTGGTCGTGACTGGGCAGGGTTCAAACCTACAAGTGATCCATCACCAACTTTTGGACTGGGTCCACCAACTGGAGATTGTGCAGCCTTGAACTGTTCATGCTGTAGAGACAACCTCATGATCTCCCCTTGTAGTTCTGTTAAACTGCTGTTGAGTTTGTGTAGAGAGGAGTCATACACCTGATATTCCGAGTCAGAACCTGGGGGAGAAGCAGTATCCCTAGAGAAAACTGGCACTGGTGTGGGTACAGACGGTGTGGGCAGATAATGTGTGGGTACAGGCTGTGAAATGCCCTGAAGTGGAGACTGACTATGTGATCTAGGAGGGTTGTGGATCGGCTCTTGGATGTTCCTGGGTCTGGCCCCAGCCAAAAGATCACCATCATGCAGCCTGAAAGAATCCCCATCAGCATCCTCATCACCACTACCAGCTCTGCCACTAGATATCAAATCAGTGTCACTCTTAAACCAATTGTTTCTGATATTATCAATTGTCTGCTGCATGCCGGCCCTTGAAAATGCCTTGTTCTGAGAAGTTTCAGGGACTGTCGATGAATAAGCTGACCCTGCACTGCTACCTCCAAACATTCCTACATGAGCTTGGGCAAGTTGTGTGTGATCTTTACTCATGAACTGATTATCAGGACTGGGCGAAGCAAACACACCTTCACCACCTCCTCTGGACGACACACCTCCACCACCTCCTCTAGACATATGAGTCTGTGTTCGCCAGTCTGTAAATCTTTGTGCCGATACATCAGGAGAAATAACAGAATTCTGGCCCAAGGCGGCTTGTGGGGTATTGGGATGGGCAGGCGGCTGATGTCTTGGGGTGCCACCCAATGGTACATTCTGGCCCAGCTGGCCTAGGCGGGCTTGCAGCTGGATCTGGGAGGAGATTGGCGACTGGTCTGATCTTGTTGAATCTGCTTGATCTGAGGAGTCCCCATCAGCTGTTCCATCCGCATGCTTAGAAACTACCCGCATGAAAGCCGCTTTGCCTGAAATAGTCCAAAAATTAAATTTAAAATATAATCTCTGCTCTTCCGTGTGTGAATTTGTACTGATAATTTACTAGAAAAACTGATAATGATAAATTAATAAACAGATGGTCAAGCGGTCAGAATATTCACCTCATACACTGCGGAACATGTGTTTGGCCCCCAGTAAGCGCAAAGGACCCTTTTTCCACACCTTCAGGCGTACTGGGCATATAGTGCTAGATCTATTTTGTATAGGCCAGTCAGCACTCAGTGGGTGATGTGGTCAACATGTTTGTTATCAGGTACCCATTTAAGGCTGGGTCGGAGTAGGAGCGGTAAGGCTTGAATTATTTTTTTTCAAATGTTTGTACACTGTGCAGTTACTGAAGCGACAGCTCAGTAGCTATAGGACTGACTACAAGCCCAAAGGTCTCAGGTCTGAATCCACACTAAATAAATTTCTATAACTAACCCTGGCTGCCAAGCCAACCCAGCTGAAAAAAGGGGACTAGGAAATGTCCGAGAAAGTAAAGGCAGCTATAGAAATGCTGACCATAAAATAACAATTTATTTGTTATTAGCAATAATGTAACTCGCACTCTGTTTAAATGTCCACTAATTACAGGCATCATGAGAGCTAACAGACAACAAAGGTTAGGGTATACAGAGAAAACTGCATGTAACAGATAAGTCAAAAACTGTGAACTTAAAAGAGTAGGCGCAGACCAAGAGAAAGACTAAGGAGATGGAGAGATAATATATATGCAGACATACAAACACTTGGAGTCAGCACCTGCAAAATAAAAGAACAATTTCAGAAATGAATAGAGGTTGGTAGTTTTAGAGACAATGAACCTCAAGGGCCAAAAATTCTTTAGAAGAAGAATCAGTAGTAGAAGAAGAAGAGAAGGATGAAAAGGAAGGGGAAGGGGAGGGGAAAGGGAAGTAGGAAAAAGACATATTTTTTTTAAAGGATTTTTGAAATATGATAAACAGTTTATTCAGAATATGCTACTTTTGCTCAGATTAAATTATGAGGAGGAGGAGGAGAAGGAGAAGAAGAAAAAGAAGAAGAAGAAGAAGATGAAGGTGAAGATGAAGAAGAAGAAGAAGAAGAAGAAGATGAAGATGAAGAAGAAGAAGAAGAAGAAGAAGAAGAAGAAGAAGAAGAAGAAGAAGAAGAAGAAGAAGAAGAAGAAGAAGAAGAAGAAGAAGAAGAAGAAGAAGAAGAAGAAGAAGAAGAAGAAGAAGAAGATGAAGAAGAAGAAGATGAAGAAGAGATATCAAATGTATGTAGAAACTAAAGCTACACTCACCCAGTTGTTGCCTCATCTTGTTTTGCTGTGCCTCTTGTCTATGTTTCTTCCTCTCAATATCTTTCCTCTTCTGCTCCAGTTTCAGCCTCAGCTGCTGCATTTCTACAGAGCCCGGATTACTCTCACTGGCCTCCAGTGCTGCATTATCCGTCATGTCTGCACTGCGGGACATCTGTGGATTTTGCTCCGTGCCACCAGTCTTATCTTTAAAAAAAATACAACAGCTGCAGTGATCCAGTGACACAATTTATAAGGCACTGATTTAAATAGCTCAATTAAAATTCGTTTTTTTTTTTTTTTATAATTCTGAGGAGGAACAATGTTACTCAGTTGACATTAAATTCTGGAAAGTTGATTTAAAATTAGCTGAACATTAAAATTTCCCTTGTTTTTTATTTAATGTTTGATTTTCTATCTTTAAAGGACAGTACAGGCAGTCATTTTCTGTTAAATATATATAGCAGCATCATCATCACGTGTCCCGTCAAGACCAGCTCCAGCTGACCGGTCATGATGCTAAAATCACGAAACCGGTCTAAAGATATGTTAATGCAGTGATTCTCAAACTGAGTGCCGCGAGTGTATGTCAGGGGTGCCGCAGCAGTATTCAAGAATTTGTCTAAATCTGCTAGACATTGAATTTGCACTGTTAGAGGTGTCACGGCAAAAATCAAGAACTTTTCCAAATCTGCTTCGCAATAAATTTGCATTGTTTTCTTTTCTTCTTCTTTTCTTTAATATTCAAACTGCTTTAAGAGTAGGTGTGCTGCAAAACTTTTTTTGCCGGCGAAAACAGTTTGAGAAACTCTGCGTTAGCGTATCGTTAGCCTGGTTTTTGTGACGTCAGCAATATGCCCCGTCAATTGGAGCCGGTTTTGATCCTGCCGACTGGCATAGACGTTCATGCATCTCCACAGATCTCGGTCCCTTGTCCTTTGGATCAGTTCCACTGATGATATTCCTCCGTGCCACCGTCACAATCCATCCCACAGATCTCGGTCCCTTGTCCTTTGAATCAGTTCCACTGATGATATTCCTCCGTGCCACCGTCACAATCCATCCCACAGCATCTCGGTCCCTTGTCCTTTGAATCAGTTCCACTGATGATATTCCTCCGTGCCACCGTCACAATCCATCCCACAGCATCTCGGTCCCTTGTCCTTTGGATCAGTTCCACTGAGGATATTCCTCCGTGCCACCGTCACAATCTATCCCACAGCATCTCTCTCCTTATCTCCGTTTTTTTTTTTTTATATTCAAGAACAGACCCTTTTTTGCACTCTCCCTCACTGCTATGTCCAATAATTGTTTTAGGTCATTTTCATTTTCAGCTATTAGTACTGTGTCTTCTGCATAACGTATGTTGTTTATATTATAACCTCACAATCTAATTCCTTGTGTATCTTTGACCTCTCAAACTCATTTCATTACAGAGAGAGAAGAGGTCAGGTAAGAAAACACATCCCTGCATTACTATCTGTGTGATCTTTTCAGAACATCACAAGCTAATCTCAATATTTACTGAGGCAATTTGTCATCACTTTCTGCCACTTAAACCATCCTTTCAATCAATGCATCCCTGTATGGGTTCCGAAGAGAGGAAGGGGAGGGGGGGGGGTAGGAGCCCAACAGCCCCTCTAAGATTTGACTAATTAGGGGTGTTTCCTTCCAAGTCGGAGTGCATCTGCCTGAGAGGCAAGGAATCAACAGCCTGCATAAAAATAAGCGAGATGAGTAAAACGAATGTGCAGCCAGGACTCAGGTTCTGGAACAAGACTAAAGTTTAGAAGTGGATGAACAACCAGAACTCTCCACCAGCATTGACAGCTGGTGAATACGAAGAAGAAATTAATGCAAAGCGCATTGATAACAAATCACCTGCAGCTGACTTCAAACCCTGGTATATCAGAATTGTAAAACTGTGTTCACAAATGCTGAGTCAAAGACATTATACAAATATAACAATACAAAATGTTAAACATACTTGAATCTCCATTACTATGTGGTTGACCCTGACCCTGTTTGTTAACAAAGCTGGATTTGAGGTTAACACCAGACATCTGATCGTAAGGTCCTCCGTGACTGCCACTCTGCATGTAGATCAGGGCTGACCTGTCCATCTGTGGACACAATAATGTGGAGTTATAAATGTTTCCAAAGAACCGACATCACAGCACTCGGGGCATTCCCATAAGCGCTCCGTCCCCATCTTCTGCAGCCAGCGAAGAGTTCCGATACTAATGGTGCCAGTAACTTTCTGATTAAACGTCTGTCTTGCCTTTCCTCTGAGCCTCGAGTTTCTGCCAGAACCTCTCGTCACCCCCAACTGCATCAATCTCACCAGACTGTGGTGATCCATCTGCTCCTCCGAATTGTACACGCTCTCCCACAAGGAAAGATATCATATTTCAGACAGATATCATTGCCCGGGGTACGTCAGTTATATAAACCCTGTTGGACAGGAGAGACATGGACAAGGTCCGGTAGTGAAGGAGGGAGTGAAGCATGTGGTGCTTGACTTGAGCCGGTGGAACCACAGTGGATTTTTTTTTTCCCCAAAGAAGAAGACAATATCAAGGGGAAAATATGTTTCCGTTGATGCTACAAGGAGAAAAATATGCTTCCGTTGATGATACAAGGGGGAAAATGTGCTTCCGTTGATGATACAAGGGGGAAAATGTGCTTCCATTGATGATACAAGGAGAAAAATATGCTTCCGTTGATGATACAAGGGGAAAAATGTGCTTCCGTTGATGATACAAGGGGGAAAATGTGCTTCCATGCTGATACAAGGAGAAAAATATGCTTCCGTTGATGATACAAGGGGGAAAATATGCTTCCGTTGATGATACAAGGGGGAAAATATGCTTCCGTTGATGATACAAGGAGAAAAATACGCTTCCGTTGATGATACAAGGGGAAAAATATGCTTCCGTTAATGATACAAGGAAAAAAATAAACTTTTTACTGTCTATACTCCTTATAGTGGTTGTAATGCAAGGCTGGATCGAAGCTGCCGACAATTTGGTAAGGATTATCATCACAGCACTCCTGTCAAATGCAGAGATGCTCCGAGCTCCTCAAAAGCTCTTCTTCTTCTTCTTCTCTTCCACCTTGTACCTCATCGAAGTGTCGGTGGGAGATGTAATGTTCGTTGATGAGCTCTGTCAAGAGCACTATTAAGACTGATGTTCATTTCTGTAAGGTTGTTCTTAATGCCATCACTCCATCTTTTCCGAGGTCTTCCACTCGCTTTATACCCGTTGTAACGTTTTAGTGTGGCTCGCTGTGGCAGATAGTACCAGGGCATTCTTGTTAGGTGTCCAAACCATTTCATTTGTTGTTCTTTGATGACCTGTAAGACTGGCTTTATTCCTAGCATTCGTCTGATTTCATGATTTTGTATTCTGTCTTTCCTTGAAACTCCTACAGCTCTTCTAAGGCATTTCATCTCTGTTGTCACAATTTTACGTTCATTGGAGGATGTAAGTGTCCACGTTTGGCACTGATAGCATAGTGTTGGCCAAAAAATAGTTCTGATAAGATTCACTTTAGTACTCTGAGGTATCTGCTTGTGTGTCAACAGGGGAGATAGTTGACCCATTACTTGATTAGCTTTGGCACATCTGGAACTAATTTCTCTGTCCAGTTTTCCGTCTGAAGTAAAAATTGCTCCCAAATAAAAAAAAAAAGCTCAACAACAGTAAAACGACTGATGACATCTGTTCTGTGTTGGTTGATGAAACCTTATTTCCCCTTAGTGCAGTGGTTCTTCTTAACCTTCCCAATTCGGCAACCCTTTAATACTGTTCCTCATGTTGTGGCAGCCCCCAAGCATAATTATTTTTGTTGCTTTTTCATAACTTCAGTGAATAGATGTTTTCCGATAGTCTTTGGTGACCCCTGCAAATGGGTTGTTCAACCCACAAGAGGGTCGTGACCCACAGGTTGAGAACCACTGCCTTAGTCTTCTTCTTCTTCTTCTTCTTTCATTCGCCTGAAATAAGTTGTCTATATCAGCAGTTTTGTCTCTTGCATAAATTTCACTGTCACTTTATCTATCTATTTATACCAATGAGTGATCAAACATAACCTAAGTAAACTAAAGTTATGATAAGGTATCACTTACCCTATCAAAATTATACCCGAGCTGATCCTTCAAACGCTTCAGCTCTGCAAAATTGGTGGTTGCTTTAGAAGGCAGCTTGTTTAAGAGGCTGCGATCGTCATCCTCCAGTTTGTTTGGGACACCGACTGACATCATCTGATAAGAGCATTAGAGGCTTGCTGCTGCTGCTGTTGCTGATTTTGCTGCTGCTGCTGCTGTTGCTGTTGCTGATGTTGGCGTTACCCATCTTGGTATTAGGCACTGTGACCATGCCTGATTCTCTAACCTGATTCACATGAGAAAAAAAAACATTCTGCAGTTAGAACCAGCTTATGTCAGAATGTTGAATTAAAAATCAACATCACAGCACTCGGGACACTCCCATGAGTGCTCAGTCCCCATCTTCAGCAGCAAGCAAAGAGTTCAAATTCTGAAGGAATCATTAACCGTCTAATTGAATATCCGTCTCGCATTTGCCCCGAGTGTTGAGCGTCGGCCAGATCCCCTAATAACTCCTCACAGCGTCATTCTCCTCAGACTGTAATGATCTATCTGCGCCTCCTTAGCGGGTGACCACAACATGAGGAACTTTATTAAAGGTTTGGGGCATTGGAAACATTTGAGAACCAATGCATTAGCACAACATAACACCATCATCTGGAAAGATGCAATGGTGCCAACAATACTAACCTTATACTCCTGATGAATTTTCTGCGACTCATGGTCAGAATACTCTCCAGAACTAGCAATGCTTCCCTCCCTTGACCTGACAGCAGTCAGTAGAGTGTCCTCACTGTCAGAAACAACTGGGATACCGGCGGCTCGAGCTGCCTGGACACTGACGGCCCGGTCTTGAACCGTGTAGCTGCTCGCTGGGCTGATATCTGTGACTGAGAAATCAGCACGGGTGATTTCACAAATACAAAGTAAGACGGCTAAAAGCTGCACAAATAATTAAAACCAAAATTAATATCACAGTGACAAATATTATCAATTACTATTAAATCATTCTAGATTACTGTCTGAAGTCAAACTATTTTATGCTTTAACAATCACATTAAGCTATACTGGAGAACTAAAGCAATCCATCCATGAATACTTCACTAGTCATGTCAAGTAATACAGCAGTAGTGAGATAAACATTCATGAATACTTTTCATGAATACTTTATTAGTCATGTTGAGTAATACTGAAGTAGTGAGGTAAATATTCATGAATACTTTACTAGTCATGTCAAGTAGTACTGCAGTATTCATAAATACTTTGCTAGTGTTGTAAAGCAGCACTGCAGTAGTGAGGTAAACATTTATAAATACTTTATTAGTCATGTCAAGTAATACTGCAGTAGTGAGGTAAACATTTATAAATACTTTATTAGTCATGTCAAGTAATACTGCAGTAGTGAGGTAAACATTCATGAATACTTTACTAGTCATGTCAAGTAGTACTGCAGTAGTGAGGTAAACATTCATGAATACTTTACTAGTGTTGTCAAGTAGTACTGCAGTAGTGAGGTAAACATTCATGAATACTTTACTAGTGTTGTCAAGCAGCACTGCAATATTCACTCTCAGGCACTGAACTGACACTGTGACTACATTAAACTCAACACATCATGGTGTGTAACTCTAACTACATTAAACTCAACACATCATGGTGTACAACTCTAACTACATTAAACTCAACACATCATGGTGAATAAGTAACTACATTAAACTCAACACATCATGGTGTGCATCTCTAACTACATTAAACTCAACACATCATGGTGTGCAACAACAGCAACAAACATACAAAACAATGCATATCTTCTTACTTCTCTGCAGGACAGGCTGGGTAGGGTTTGTCTGCTTGGACTTGGTGTCTAACTCTGCATGTATTTCTGAGCCTGGTTCAACCCCAAAGGCTTCAAATGCTTTCCCGCGGGAACTTTGAGGAGGTGTCCTGGGGTATGGAGATTGGCTGCTGCCCCCTGTAAGATCATCAATATCATCATCATCAAGTGCTTCGCCGACTGGTGTGGGCGATCATCCCTCTCCATAATCTGTGATCTGAAATTGCGTGTCAGTTTGTGTGTTGACACCCCTCCATGCCATGACAAAAGACAGTCAAGAATCTTTTCACGCAGTTTTCCTCTGTCTCTTTTTCCACAGATCTTTCCAGTGGTCACATGTTCCATTTTCCCTCTTCTGATAACATGACCACAAAATTATGACTATCTCTTTCTGATGTTTGTATTAAGTTGTCTTCGAGCATTCGCCTCTTTCAATACTTCTGGGTTGCTTTTCTTCGCTGTTCTAGGAATTCTAAGGATTCTTCTGTCATCAGTATCATCATCATCATGCAATATCATCAATATATTCAAATATATTCATCAGGCATATCTGCCAGCAATAGACAGACAATTTTAAAGATTGCTGAAGGTAGAGATGCTCAGTTATGTGGATGCAGAAAGCAAGGGAAGACTCTAGGTTAGTTGCGTATCCTTTACAGGAGGTTGAAAAACCAACCTCAGCAGCCCCTGGCTGTTGTGTGGTTTCTCTGGCAAATTTACGTCCAGTAGTTTGCCACTACTTTCTGGACGGTCGGCCCCCTGATACCACTGTCGAAACCAACGCGAGGCGCAAGGCGCATGGCCCGCAGTTGGGATCGAACCCGGCACCCCGGCATTATGAAGCGTTTGCATCGACTTAGCCACAGAGCCGACAAGGGAAGACTACCATATTAAATATTACTAGAAACTCTAAACAGAGTCAAGGTAACCTGGAAAGAACGGTGATGGAGGGTGCATTTTTACAGAAAACTAAGCTGAGGTAGATCTTAGTGAAGGTGGATAAAAGACACTGAAGATGCACTAGCTATGAAAGTACACAGGGCTGGAGAATAGGCTACAGACAGAGAGAGAGAGAGAGAGAGAGAGAGAGAGAGAGAGAGAGAGAGAGAGAGAGAGAGAGAGAGAGAGAGAGAGAGAGAGAGAGACTTTCAGGTGTGCAGTGAACAGAGCAATGGTCTCAAAAGGATCTGCTGACTGATGATGTAATTAGGCTTTAAATTATCGGGTAACGTCCATCTGCTGCCTCTCGTTCTCAGTAAATTCTCTCTAGAATTACTGAGGTGAGATGATAGATGTGTGTGTTTTTGTCTGTCAGAGGCAAAAATAAACATTCTAACCTGCACAGTTCATGGTGACTGCACTAACCATCAGACCCTGAATCCTCAGGCTCAAGACGTTATAATTTTAAATTTATCTGGACTCCCAGGTCGACCTAGCCCCAAAAGGGAACCAGAAAATGTTCCTGGAAGTAGGTTGCTTACAAAATGAAACAGTTATCCTATGGCATATTTTTATTAGTTGACAGAAAAGCCCGGACACTGAAACACTATCAATGACTCAGACGCAAAAGAACTGTCAACTGATTGGCAGCATTATAGGGCATTCTTGTGTACAATTTGAACTATTTCCCTTATAAAAAAAAAAAAAATCCTGTCTTCTTCTTCTTCTTCTTCTGTGTTCATCCAAAGATGTAATTGCGTTGTGTCCGTTTACAGCATGGCTGCGATATTTGCACCTTTCGGCCAACACTTACAACTTCTGCGGGCATTTGTTGACCGGGTTAGCCTTCCCGGTAAAATTTCTTTCAGTAGCTATGGTTTTTTTAAGCAACATATATACAGTAAGCAATGTACTGACCAAATCACTAAACAAGTATATATTAACTTATTTATAATAATGAGGGGCTAGTATGTTAAGGTGGAGAAATAGGTCCTTTAATTGATATATACCAACCTGGGAATATGGGTGAGGCTGTTGACCGCTGCGACAATAACGACACTGGTGACTGCTCGGAGGAAGGCATCACTTTTCTCCTCCTGTGTGACCTGTGCGTGTGGTAATAATTCATGACACAAATTTATCAGATCTCTCATTTATTGACACTTTTACCCCACGAACACTTTCCAAAACAAAACAAAACAAAAAATGCTTATAAAGCCTTGGGAATTTCAAAAAAATGTCCTTTTAAAAATGATTTCCCAAAGGTAACTAACACTTTCCAAAACAAAACAAAACAAAAAATGCTTATAAAGCCTTGGGAATTTCAAAAAAAATATCCTTTTAAAAATGATTACCCAAAGGTAACTAATTGTTGAAATACTTTTACCTGCGGCAGAGATGTCGCTTCTGAGAAGAATACAAAGAATATGGAAGGATAGAAAAACAAACAAACAAAGCAGTCCTCATCGAGACAGATGAAAGTCGTAAAGTTATTAGAATAATCAGACGCAGACAGCCAATGTTTTTTTTTTAAATTTCTGCGAAGGAATGGACTCAGGAACTTGGTAACAACCGGCAAGATTAACGGGAAAGAGAGCAAGAGGAAGGCAAAGAGATAAAAATCAGGA